TACTACTACTACCACTACCACTACTCATACTAGGGGAAAAGAGGAGGCAGACTATCCCCTGTCGCTTGGCCAGTTCATTGCATCTGTCTGCGAACCACCCCGCGCCGCCGCCGCACACAACATGGCTAATGCTACAGATAGCCTGACACCGCACTAAACGTACATCCTCTCATCATTTCTTGCCTTGCATGCTGCACCGAATCTCCTGATGGCAACCAGGTTTGCGATCCTGAGCCCAGCACGTATGCTTTCAGCAGCTGCGTCCTGAAAGTTCAACCACATGAGTACTCGCAGGCTAAGTTCCGTAATCGTAGCCCTGAACCATTTTAGAATGCTGGCAGGCTGTGAGTGCGCCGCGAGGAAAGTTTCAGGAAGGTGACCGGGGCAAGCGTGAGCTGAAACGTGGGAAGGAGGGTCTCGGGCCTTTCGATCAGGAGATTCGGAGAACTGATTCACCACCTAGTCGTCCTAGCAACAAGCTGGTACCAATCCTGGACCAACTATGTCTTAAATCTACAAACTCTCCCACACCAGATGCCCGGCTGAGCTGTGCAGCACCCCGTTTCGTGCATGAAGCTGTTGCTCGAGGTACGAGTATGTTGTCACGACGTTTATGAAGCTTGGTGTCCGGGTGATTCCCGCGAATCGGTGTCGATTTCGGGTGGCTTCCGTCGATGCTGACTGCTGGTATAGCAAGCAGTCAACAAGAAGCTTGCTTGCGAAGCTTGGCTACGACAATTCTGGGACTCTGGGACTTAAGCCGCACGCGAATCAACCGGCAAAGCCGAGCCGCACGATGTCTTCGTGCTTGGCAGCGATGGCGATGTGGAGTGCCGTAATTCCATCTGCGGCCCTTGGGCTTGAACATACAAAGGAGAATCAGAATCCAGAGATCCAGAAGCAATCAGCGAATGCTCTCAATGCCCCACCATCCCTTTCCGGCATGTAGCTCCCCCTGCTCCAGCCACGAGACCGAACAGCAGCACATAGCCGTAATCAGAATTGCAGCGAGTTTACAAATAGCGCTCTTGCAAGCTTTTCCGTGCTTGCGTCGAAACCATGAACATAACACTCAAAAAACTTCCATACTTCCCGATTCTAAGCCTTCAGGGCTGGAAGCCCGCGACTTTCCGAACTGAATTTGGCTCCTGTTTCGACAAACTTCTCAACTTCGCAAACCCCGAATCCCTGACCCGTTCGAGCGAGGAGAGGAGCAAAGGCTGTTGTGGATCTGCTTTACCTCGGATGATGACCTGGCAAGATGAAGTCGTTGCTCTTCGGACGCTTGCGACAGCTTTCAGAATAGTTTGAGGGAACCTTTGCTAGCTTAGGACGAGCGGTACGCTGATCCTCTGAAGCTGCGGCATTCCGGGTCAGGAACCCTCTCCGTTCGGGTCGGGTGCAATCTTCCTCATGGTGCCTGCTTCATAGCTTCTTGTGATCCGAACTAAGCCTACACTCGTATTACATGCGTTTGCCAACTTCAACTTCTGTTATACCTAGTTGCAGTCGATTTCTAAACGACTCGGAGCATTTTCACCTGGCTTGCCGCGTGTTGCAATAATTTGGGGCAAAGAATTGCTTCTGGCGGATGCTGCAGCTGTGAGTACACATGTTGGCACTGGTGCGATAAATTCCGATACTACAACACTGAATGAATTTATGGGTCGCAGGAAGCGATAGCTAATACTGTACCGCTTGAAACAGTACTTCTTGGGCTGCAGCATAGCAAGGTATCAAATTTGGGGTGTGCGATGGGGATGCTCAGCAATCCATGGACTCTCTGCGGGATAGTCCGGGGATGGTAATTTCGCAGGGCACTGCAAAATAAGCCGGGTCAGGCAAAGAAAACAAGGAGTTCCCAGTGAGCATGACTCGCACCAAGGGGGGTTGCAATTCAATGCTAAAGACTTTGTATTCGCGGGGCTATATTAGCCAAGAAGTGTTGAAGCACGTCATATGAAACTCATCCTGGAAGCTGCAAGCCCTATTTCAAAACTTGATGCCTGAACCTCGAGGGCGAATTGGGGGGTGCGTTCTCAAATCGCCTTGATGACTTCCTTCTTGTTGAGAAGTGCGGCCACATGCAGTGGAGTCCATCCGCCTGTTGCCAGGGCTACTGCTGGTTGATGGGTTTGGGATGGGCTAAGGTTAAGGAGTTCGGGCATTGAAAGGAAAGCCGGACGTGTCAAGTTTAGGATGCAATCGTCTGGGTCAAGTGCTTTGCCATCCTGCGACCCGGCACTTGAAACTCGATGGAGGATGCATATTGCGGAATGCAAGCAGTGGAAGAAAGCATGCCGCACACATTGGGGTTCATTCGCACAGCCATCAGAGCCCCAGCTCCCATTTCCAGTTTCAGCTTGCATACGACTGTAGAGCCTCCCGGGTGGGGGCTCAACAAGAACATGGAACCCTGTTGTCAATTTCGGTCGGAGGCACCTTCGAGCGTCAGGTTCGGTGTGGCACCACCTCCGGTCTGCATGTTTCAAGCGAAGAGTCTTTCAACTCTAGTTCTTGCACATCTGATCGTAACCGTCAACATAGAGCACTAGAAGAAACGCTGCAAGCCCAGGTCCGATAGGAGCTTCCACTCTTTACCGCAAATGCAGTTCCTGCAAACACCCTTAACTCAAACACTCCGAGCCCATGGTGCCGGCACTCTTTTGGGGATGACTCGCCCCATGTCCGAGCACCCTCAAACCGGAAAGAGATTTCTGACATCTCAGGCTTCAAGCTGAAATCCGAAGCACCCAGAAATCATCTTTTTTTAGGGCCTCAGAAGGCCGACGCCCCCCTGGAAGATATAGCTGGGCTAGATCCCAAAAGCCTACATGGGGCATGGAGGTCGTACTGAGTTGAAAACATACAGACGAGGATTGGGTAAAGGATTTAGGTTGTGGCTTTTGTGGTCCACGAGAGGCTTGAGATGCAGATGGATATTGCCACCGAGCTGTCGCCGACAGCGTGAAGCATGAACCCAACTCATTCACAGTCACCAGCAACCTCGACATGCAAAAGTGCAAACAGTTTTAGATCTCTCTACTCCAGAAATGTCGATGTGGCAAACAGCTCTTTAGAAATTCCGCGCGCCTTCAACCTCGAGCACGCCCGGACCGAAAACATTCTAGTCTTCCGGCCCCCATATTCAGCGATCCTTTGCCCTGACCCGTGTTTCTTGATCTTCTTGATCTTTTCAGAGTCCGCAGTGCCTCGCTGAAGGAGGCCGATGACTCGACCCTGCCAAGCATTCACTGCAGCGCTTGCGCGGGCTTGTGCCAAGTGCCCTGAGATCCTTGAATCCTTCATCTCTACGATCCACCGATCGGACTACCAGACTGCCACGACCACTTGCCGTTGCATGGAGAGATCTGGCGGGCTGCCTTCAGGGTTACTTAAGTGTCCGGTAGCAAACGAAAGTAGTCGCAATCATTGGACCCTGAACCAAGCCCTGCAGTTTGGCCATTCTCGACATTGAATCTTCACATCCACGCGCGATACAGTACTGCTGAGGCACTCACGACGCTTCATGACGGCTGTTCGGCCCATCATGCTTTCGGTCGTTAGTTTACCCGTCCATCCCCACCAGGAAGCAAGGAGATCAGCGGATGCCAATTTCAGTATAGACTTTCAAGTCTAGCAAAAAATCGAACCTTAAACCCACTCTTGAACAGTACGTACAATTGAAGCCCTGGAGCCCAAACGCGTTAAACACTCAATCTGCTGGCGGCGCCTCGCCACCTGCTGCAGCAAAATGGAGGGGTGTCGAAGCATCCTCCTGCACAAACCCGCTGCAGATACCCCAAGCCTGGAACCCAACAACGGGCCGTAGCTCACGAACTGAAGTTTCAACTTGAGCTGGGTGACCCAGCACGAAAGTCCAGCAAATCACAGACGAAGCGCATGTGAACTCTGAGAGCCGAAGCCTCAATCGAAAATCTTCAAGTATCTCCAGAACCGCAAAGCTACAACTGAGTCAGGGCAGGACCTACTCCAACCACCTAGACCCTCATATGTCATACCATCCCTCCCAAAATCAGAAAATTCAGAATCAAAAAACTCATCGACCACTTGACAACGAAACTTCCTCGATAAATTTTATGCTTGTTAACGAACAAGAGCCTTCCCAAACGTTGGCAGCCTGTTTCTGAGCCGGGGCATTCGATAGAGGAGATACGCCCCTAAGGCCTGCAGAAACTCCCCGGCGGATCCGACAGCTGATGTCCCAGCTTGCTGGAGTTGTTGAAGAGTTTTTGTACAGCAGAGAAGGCCCACCGGAGCGCCACTCCATGCTCAAAGCTTGAGTTTTCAGTATCCTCTGAATGAGGCACGGAACTACGAAAGTCGGGAAGCCAATAATCTGGCAAATATCAAAGCTCCGGAGCCTCTGGGATGTGTATAAAGAGTTCTTAAGTCTTACGAGTAGCCTTTATGACGGCTGTTGGAGTTACAGCACCAAAAACTCCCGAAGAGGCCTCAAAACTTCCACTCTTAGCCCCAGAACCCATGCGAACAATAGCATTCAATAGCGCTTAACCATTTCCATTCTGGCAGGACCGGAAGGTGCAGGTTCAACACCGGCAGTATCACTACAACAGCGACAGCGACTAATCAAGGAATACGGTGCAGCGCTGCTCTGCAGCGGGCCGACACCAGCGAAGCGCAAACCATTCGGTGCAGACCGGAAGGGAGGAGATACTGCCCCCAACAAAAGCACACGCTCCAGCAATGTCTGAGTATGTAACCAACTCCACTGGTGACACTGGAAATTCCATCATCAAGGAATCTACAGCAAGGCCAATAGCTAGGTCAGTCACTCGCAAAGCGAGGAGAAGTTTCACAAAGACAAGAGCACGCCCTGCTGCGTGTCAGTGAAATGTTGTTGTTGCTGCTGCAACAGCAGGAGGAGGCTGAGGAGGAGTGGTAGCACTTGTGATTCATAGTTTATAATAAGAACATCGATGATGACAAGAGCAAGAACAGAAAAGCAAAAAAAGTAAATAACCATAGTAATAACAATAATGTTGTAAGCCGTGGTCGGAGGAGGAGTTGTAGTAGGAGCAGGAGTAGACTAGCAGTAGCAGTAGCAGTTTGAGTGGCAACAGTAGTCTCCGTCGTCGTAAGTACAAGCAGTAAATCACAGTCGGGTGGTGGTAGCAGGATCCGTAGCGGTAGCAGTGCTAGCGGAAGCAGTCGTCGTTCAGTTGTCGTGCAAGATCAACAAAAGCTTTTCAAGCCTCCAGCTGAAGGATGAAGTTCAGGTTCTGGGCTATGATGGCTTCAGGAGCTGTGGAATGTTTGTGGAGATTGGTGTAAGTTGCGGTCTTTTGAATCCGCACGGACATCGTACCGTACGGGGACCGCCCAGACCATGTTACATCTCCGTTGTATTTTTTCGACGAAGCATGAAGAGATCCTGGGTAGATGATGGACGCCCAAGTTGGTGGACGACGGACAAACATTCTATACAAAGCTGTGAGACTGTGGTGATGTTGGCCTTTCCCTGATGCACCAGCGAAGGTTGAGCAACGAGGCAACAAAAATACTCAAATCAGTACGGAAGGTATGTGAAAGATGTATGGCAAGTACGGTAAGCCTACATGTCAGGTAGGATAAGGATAGCAACTAGGGCAAAAGATTGATCACATCGACATTACTTATACTTCATGATACCTGCAGCGAAAGATGTCCCGTGTCAGTTTCCAACCAGGGCTTCAGTTTCAGCTTTAGGGATTGGTGTCGGTGACGCAAGCAAACCCATGATACCACAAGCAACAGTTCCTCTCCTGCGCTGTTCGCGCATTCATATCAGCGCCTCCGCGTGGCTAAGAGAAGCTCCCGATGTGCTACGCAAGTCTGCTGCACTGGGTGTAGAGGCTTGGGGCATTAGGCTATGGCAGCTTTCTTCAGGCCGTGATTTCCAGGTTTTAAATTGTTCATGGCCCGACGGTCTCGCGTTTCTACAGTCTGTGGCCATAGGGCCAGTCTGGGGATCGCTGCTTGAAGTATACATGCTTGGAGGTAGGATTTCGGTACTTGGAGCCTCAAATTCTAGGATTCTAGTTGGCCCTGGCCTACGTAGGGTTTGCCATTGCCTGCATTTGCCTCGTCGCCAGACTCCTTTCATTTTTTGGGGTATGAAACATTTGTGCAGCCCGTGAATGCCTACAATGGCTATATGGTCGGGGTCTGGATGCATCAGATTTTATCATTGATTTTAGGTATCCAATTCCGCAAGTGCCTGCAATGTGATATCGGGAAGAATGAAGAGCCGCGCCAATCTCTGCATGGCAAATCCAAAAGACAGGGCTTTGGCACCACGAGTATCATCGCGACTCCTGCTTTGACGACTTCTACTGCTGCTGCTGCTGCTGCTGCCTCTGCTTGCTACTTGCCGTGCAGCAGTCTACTTCAAATAGAAATCCAACCGGGCTGTCAACCATGGGACCATCTGCCCAACGGCCTCTCTTGGACAGTAGCTCGACGATCTGCAGGCAGTTCCGAGCTGAGATGCTCGTGTCTCTTGAGCAAGGTTTTGTCTTTCTGTAATGTCAGAACACTTGAGTTTGTGGAAGCCTCTTCCGGGCTCGCCGGTGTAGGCTGATGATGTTCGGCTGCTAAGGACCATAAGCCAGGATTTTGGAGTCCCTCAGAACGAATACTAGGGACTTGGGGAATGCAATTCGCTGATGCGGGGCTAGAGGCTTGGCCTTGCCAGAAATTCAAGTCTTGGGGCTCTGAGAAGCCATGTGTACTTCCACCGCCTAGACCGCATGTAGTCCACCGAACCCGCAGCCCGAACCTCCTGAAACGGCATCTGCAGCTTCTTGAACGCCCGAAGCTGTCAATCCCAACCCCAGCGTCCTCAGGAGCTCCATCAACTCACATTGCTGACCGCCGTATCTTTATGTAAGTGCACGAAATCCGAACTCTCTATTTCCATCCTTGCTGTGACTAGTGGATTCGGACTGTACGTGGGAAAACTTGTTGGGGCAGGGTTTGCGGCTTGTGGCGTAGGTGGTCGCGGCTTTTAAAGCGTCGGGTCCACTTTACCAGACATGTGAGGCCTTGGTGTAGCCTTTCACCACGGCAAAGTGCAGAGGTGCCCAGCATGTGGTCAGCTGGTCGATGGGGGCGCGTGCCTGTTGTTGGGCACCAGAGATCTGCGCTTTGTGGTCTTGGGCTTCAGGCTTGAGACATGGGTTTCTAGATTGCTGTGGCCCACGGGCTGTAGCCTACTACTAGGCTCAACAACTGCTGAGATGCAGGTGCCCCATGCAGGGTGAAACCAAGCCACACACAGATGTATATATATATATACATATACGTATGTGTGTACATATATATACATATATATATATGTGTGTATATATATATATGAATATATATATATATGTATATATATATATGTATATATATATATGTATGTATGTAACTGTATGTATGTATGTATGTATGTATGTATGTATGTACGTATGTATGTACGTATGTATGTACGTATGTATGTACGAATGTATGTACGTATGTATGTATGTCTGTATGTATGTATGTTATCCTGCTGGAATCCGCACGTCAGTAGCCAATACACACACACACACACAAACACACAAACACACACACACACACATACACACACACACACACTCTGCATGTACGCACAGACCGCGGAAGTCGAAGTTGCCTCCAGGAGAACCTCGACGAGAGAGAGCTGCCCCGCATCGACGGCATGGTGCAATGGCGCCCAGGAGTTGTAATCTCGCACGAAGGGCTCAGGGGGACAGACGAGTATGTGACACCAAATTGCGTTGGCCATGAATTTCTTTGATGTATGGGCGCCCGTGAACCCTGCTACAAATAGTAGTTGGCACTAGTCATCCAGCGAATTGCGAAGCAATTTTCATCAGCGCTGCCCTTCGCGGGCCTGGCTATGAATCTTTCGTGGGCTTTCTGGCAGCGGGTAAGATGCCGGTTTTGAAGTTCAAGACCCAAGTGAAAGAATCCCTGACATTAGCTGTAATCCGATGCCAATGCATCTCTTCTCGGCGACGACCACGAAATGCTTTCGCTTCCATATGAGGCCAAGGTCGGTGCCACCTCGCCTGTCAAAGCTTCAGTCCGAACCGAGGCAAAAACCAATTTCCATTAGTCTTCAACAATTTGTATCTAAGACCGAAAGGTGCCTATGTCAATACCCGGGTCGTCGAAGGGCCCCTGTGCCAGCCCTCGACTACAAGGCCCCGCCCTGTCTGTCGACTGTAGCATCGAGTCGAAGAAGAATCTGCAGCGCCTCGCCAGCTTTATGATGGAGAGCAAGCATGATTCAGTCATGCTGGTCAAAAAAAGAGCTGTGCTTTAGTGTGCTTCGGTTACAGGCCTGGCTTCAGCTTGGTATGTGCCTTGGCTAGATGCAGGATTTATTGGGTTGAAGGTCATCAAGGTGAAAGAAGTTGAGTTGCCATCTACTTTTTTGCACGCGGATCCACGGAATGCTGTCTGAACCAATCCGAACCATAACGACTTGTAAGAACAACAGCTTGACCTGGAAACCGCGTAGCGTCAACATATGTTTCAGCAAGTGCAGAACAACAGATAAACCAGAGCAGCAACGAACCTGTACACAACTTTCATTCTGATGAAGTGCCTCGACACTGCTGCTTCTAGCCGCGCAGTGCAGGGGAGTCATCCCGTCTGACCTGCAAAAATTCGCAGGTAGCTCGTTCGGTGCTCGGCTCTTCCAGACATGCGCATTCCGAGTTCCAAGGTTGCCTGTCGACAGACTTACTTAGGCAATTTCCGAACTCAGCGAGGCTTCTAGCTCTCCGAGCAGGATCTCCAGACCGGTCCGCGCTGTCCGTCACAACAACAGCTTCCTGAACGCTTGATGTCAAATCCGAAACTTGAATATGCAAAAGCTTCTGTCATGTGGACACTGGGCCCCCCATTCAGCACCTGGCACCTAAGGCCTTCCCATTCTCTCCTCTGCACTTTGGGAGGAGGCCAAGCATGGTGTGCTAAGATGAGCACCAATCTAGCAACGAGAAGGCATCGACACTCTCAGTGGTGCTACTAAGACTTTCGTTATCAACAGTAAGCCATCTGAACCCGCTCATCAAGTCAGCACCTGGTTCGCTGTTCCGAGAAAGCCTTGAGCTCCAACCTCGGCGAAAAGCTCCAGACGACGGGGTAGGTGCAGTGATATCTCTGAGGCACCAAGATCATTTCGAGCATTTGCAAGTATGAAGCTGGACCCCACTAGAACGACCTACTGGGGGGTTGCAGTGCTTTGACGTGCTTTGAATACGGTTTTGCATGCCGCGCGCCAACATGTGGCTCGCACATTGAGCAAAGCAGAAGCATGTGCAGAAACCACAAACCAATTCCGGCCCATACCCTCCGCCTTGAGTAAGGATGCAGACCCGAGCATGAAGTCTGCAATCCTAATCATGAGCAAAGCCACCCCACAATTGAACGCCACGTCTGGCTATGCAACTTTGGAGTGTCAGAGCCCCAGACACGTGTTGTGCCCCCTTTGGGCCAACCCCTTCGCACTGCGCCCTCCGCTACTCCGACCAATGCACTGCTTTTTCTGCGCTTTCGCTTGCGACCTGCAGGCGGCTGCATTGTCTCCCTGGGAAAACGGCTATTAACGTAGCTTGTAGCAGGTTTAGGCCAAGTCTAGGCAGTTTAAGCTTCAGTGCTTCTAAAGTCGCAATGTTCCGAAAGACTCAGGCTTGGGGCATACGGCTTGGAATGTGGAGTGTAAGCTTTAAGGCTTTAAGCAGTTTTAGTTTTAGTGGTAGCCCATGCAAGAGAAACCGAATTCTGAAATATGCCAGTGTGCCCGGGCAAAGCTGCTATCCCCGCCAGCGCTGTCCAGGCCCCAGGTTACAATCGAACCATCACCACAAAGAGCTGCAAAGGCAGATCTAGTGGCTTGTATTGCTTGCACATTCTGCAGCTGATCTTGGACAGAGTCGCTGTTGCCGCCGGAAAAGCTGTTACCCCATGTCACGACAGAACCATCACTTAGGATAGCCGCAAACGAGTCGTTCGTCGCCTGGATCTCTTGTACATTGTTCAGCTGGTTCTGGACTGAAGAGCTGTCACCACCAGACTCGCTGCTCCCCCACGTCACCACGGAGCCGTTGTGCAGCAAAGCGGCGAATGCTGCGTAGGATGCTTGAATTTGCTGCACACCTTGGAGCTGCTTCTGCACCTCAGAGTCGTCCCCGCCATAGCCTTCGTCACCCCAAGATACGGCAGACATGTCTCCCAAAACGGCTGCGAAAGCACCTTGTGTAGCCTGGATGTGCTGCACATCGCACAACTTTGTCTGCACAGAGCTGCTGTCGCCACCAGCGTCACGGTTGCCCCACGTCACAACAGACCCATCACCCAAGATGGCAGCAAAGGCGGCTCGTGTAGCTTGTATCCGTTGCACACCTCGCAGCTGCGGCCCGAAAAGGAAGTCTTGTACGAATGAATAATAAGCCCGAAGAGGCTCCCACCCTGAACCCTGGATCCTGCAACTCGCGCCTTGCAACTGCATCCGCACGTTACTGCAATCCCCACCAAAATTCGCACTGCACCACGCCAGGATGCTGCCATCTTGCAGAATGGCAGCGAAGGCATGGTTAGAAGCGCTGATGCTCCTCACACAGACATCTTGTCTGTGGGACTCCAGGTCTTGACCGGCGAGATGACCCCATGTCGCCAAAGATCCATCTTCAAGAAGGGCCGCGAAGGCTGTCAGAGAAGCCTGCATGTGCCGAACGATAGGTCAGCTGTGCTTTTTGTTGAAATTCTGGGGTTCTGGATTGGTGGACAAGGTCTTGAATTTATGAATGCGAGACTGTAAATACGATCTCGGCACGAAGGCCAAAAACATCGCGTGAATGCCTGGACTTGGCGAACCCCATGCAGCTGGGACTGCCGTTGTCCACCTCTTGAAAGGTCGCCCCAGGTCACAATGGAGCCGTTACGTCGGACGGCTGTGAAGGCAGTAGATGTAGCTTGGAGAGACCTGAGCGCGCGTGCAGGAAAACGGTGTCCCGCCTCATTCTCAGCAAAGAAAAGTGACCACAACAGTCTGTTGGGCACACGCTGGGCATGTTCGATCATGTTCGCATAGCTAAACGACCTGGGAAAAAGGATGGCTAGCAGGCTGAGTTGCACGACTTCATACAGCTCCTCCTGCACCCAAGTAGTATCAGTATCCAAGCTTCCCCAGCTCACCGCTGAGCCATCTTCAGGGCACATGAATCGTGATTTCGAGAGTTGGGGTTCGGGAACATGGGAGTCGGACTAAGATTTCTGCTGTCAAGGAGTGCTACTCAAGCTTCTATGATTGACTCGTAATACTTTAGGCCGAGGCCGCACCAGGTAAAAGAGCAACAAATCCTGAACTCGAGGCAAAGATATGCTGCACGTCGATGAGCTGCTCCTGGTCTTCCGTTTTCTGCCGTGAAATCAAACTCCTGCCTGCTCTTCAACAATTTAAGGACAATCTCGTTGGTTATCCAGCAAGCAACTCAGAGAGAGAGAGAGAGTGCAAAAATCTACTATACAATCCTAGCAGTCTAGAGCAACCAAAAATCAATCATTTTCCCGGTAACACACACACACACTCACGCAGACATTCCTTTGTGCGACCAAGCCCGTCTTCGTGCAGTCTTGAACCAATGCCATTCGGCATCATAGCATTCATAAATGCATCGTGAACATGCATGGGTTTGTCATTTACTAGTACCAGAGACAGAGAGAGCGAGAGAGAGAGATGGAAACACAGGGCCGACGGTAAACACACGAATGTAAGGATGCCCAAATGCAAAAGCGCAAACGGACAAACAGCCAAAGGCTGGGTAACTCGCAATTTGAAACACTGCGAGCTTCAACTCCAGGACCGCTCTTGACACGCTTAACGTTTCTTCAGGTCTGATACGACCCTGTGGCGCGTGCGCGGCTTTCTAGGACAGAATCTTGGACCCGTTCCTGGACGGCGCTGCAGTCGCCGCCATAAAGAGGCTCACCCCACGCCACCACTGAGCCGTCTGTCAGAATGGCCGCAAAAGCGGCTGAGGAAGCCTTCGGTGCGGGCTGTCTGAAGCTTCAAGGTCCGCACTGAATCATTATGACGGAATCTGGTCGGTGCTTTCTCGATGGCAGAGCTCTCTCAGTATTGCAAGGAATCAGAGGTGATCTCATGTTTGTCGTGACCGGATGCAAAATTCGTCGTCCAATGGTAAATTCTCTCTTCTCTGACTCAGGAACAGGCAGGTTCGTTCTGGTCGTTCGTTGTACTGTGAGCTCTGCTACTCACAAGGAGATGGAAGAGCGGATTTGCCAACACGAGACTATGTATTGGAGAATCAACGGGCTCTGACAACAATTTCTTATCAATACTTACAGGAAAATGGATTCCATCTCGCACGTGTGAGAAGCTCTGATACTGGTATGAAGCACGGATGAGATTTCATCTTCCTCATGATGCAGGGTACATTTAGACACGTAGCGGTGCTCCTCATGTTTCATTTCTACGTGTGTATTTGTATATATCTATATATACACACATACAAACTACACATGACCTGGGTGTGCGTATATATACATATACACAGAATATATTCACAAACACACATATGCATGTATATATATATACACATATTTATTCTTATGCTTATATTCATGTTTCTGTTTCAGTGCATATATGTATGCATGCATATGCATATGTGTAGACATGCATATGCTACATATATGTAGGTGCAAGTATATGTGTATATGTGTGTCTATGTGTGTATGCATGCATGCATGCATGTATGAGTGTATGTATGAATGTATGTATGTGTATGTATGTGTATGTGTATGTGCATGTGTATTTGTATGTATGTATGTATGTATGTATGTATGTATGTATGTTTGTGTATGTGCGTATGTGTGTATACATATATACATACATATGCTTTGTATTGTATGTGCATTTACGTATGTGTATGTGTGTGTTTATACATACATACATGCATGCATACATACATACATACATACATACAAATAACTATTCATATGTATATATAATGTACATAAAGATCACATATGATGCCAGTATATATATATATGCACATCATATGCTCTAGATTCTGTCTATCTATCTGTCTATCTATCCCGTCTCTTGGTTCAGGGTTTCTTTTCCTGTCGTTATCATTTCGTTGTTCGTGTTTGATTGTAATTTCCTTGCTTTTTTCCCTTTCTCTCGTTCATAATTTCAATGCTCGTTCTTTCTTTCTTTCTTGGGTCTTTGTGCGGTGTTTCGTTCTTTCGTTCGTCTTTGTGTACCTTCGTTCTTTGTTTCGTTGTTTTGTTTTATTCGTTGCCTCGTTCGTTCTTTCTTCATTTCTTTATTTCGCTCGTGGTTTCTTTCTTTCTGTCTGTCTGTCTTTCGTTCTTTCCTTTTCTTCTGATTCTCATTCCTTTTGATTTGGCTTCCCTTTCAAATTGTGGTTCTAAATGCTTATTTATTTTTGTTGATGCATTCTTGATCTTTTCATTCATTTTCAATTTGTTTGATGCATTTTGAACTGTTTTGATGCCTCTCCCCCAAAATGCTCCCTCTGTCTCTCTCTACGATGGCAAGGGTAAGGAGGATGGCAGAAGATTGCTCCTTGGCCTGCTCGAGGTATGGAAATGCGCGGATGCAAAAATGCAGGCTTATGGATTTGTTTGTTCAAATCTTTCCCACGTGGTGTACTGAGTGTAGTGTTCACTGACAGGGGTCCAGGACGTAGTCTCTACATCGCCGGGACATTTTGCCACAGTGATTGCTCAGGCGTGCGCCTTTCACTACTTGCCGCACGTTGCACCCGGCTCTGTTTAAAGATATATCGTGGTTCAAGGCTCCCCGATCTCCGTGGTAAACAATGCACCCAGAAAACTCAGTCATAATTCCTGTAGCTCGGGGGCATGCCCCAAACCGCAAAATCGCGCTTTCCCAAAACAGCGCGTTAGCACTACGGGTGCTTACCCAGTAGGTTAGGAGTGAAGAGAGAGTGGCAATACGCATTCACACCTGCGACGAGAAAGGTTCGGCAACGATCCGAACGGAACAAGCACTGGCGGACAAAGATGTCTTGAACAGCATGGGACGTCCGATGCCCTGTCTGAAGGGTGGGAAGCACCCCATGGCCGAGGTGCTGCTATGCGCACCGGCAGTGTGCTTAGAGTTAAAGCGTCTCCATCTTCCAGTCCAGCCTTGCCGATGCTGGCAGCTGGGTCCAAGATTTCTCCAGCAGCGTTCAGCAAAACCTTGGATCTGGGACAACGGCTGGTGCTTCAAGGACAACAGGAGAGCACAAAGCTTTTCAAACAGAGGACGGGGCACGCCTTGCCCAACCTGCAGCATTTTCTGGGCTCGCTGTCGCAGCTCCCACATCGAGGAACTGGTAGCTGCATTTATCCGCGCGGTTTGGCCGCTCAGTGAAGAGATCTCGAGAGTCACGGACGTCATGGGATGTTGGCTCAGCTGCTCCAAACTTGTAGAGGTTGCACCGGCGGACCAGTCGGATGTTAGGGGATTTTTGTATTATCTTGTCATGAGCTTGTACAGTAGAGGAAAGACAGCGAGGATGATGATTCTTGTGATGATTGATTGGATATGGTTTTAGGGCTGATGGCCCTGTGCTCTCATGTAGCAGCAACCGGCAGTTTTGATCTATGTCCTGAAGACAGCTGGCAAAGCTGAGAGACCTGGTAGTCCACAGAAGCTCAGGCGGCACAGGTTTGGTGGTCAAGGGACGTCTCTTGAGGCTGGCAATCCCAAACGAAATGGCACTGACTGGCATGCCCAAAAGCTGGCAGGAGCTCAAACCCTTTTCAGAAGGCCTTTTCCTTAGACTGCCTCACACTCTGTCACCCCGATCCTTGGGCCACTGCAAAAATTGGAGCAGCTGTGGCGTGTTGCACTGCGCGGCTGCATGAACGGGCGCCAGACCATCCTGGCGTAATGTGACTCAAATACATGTCAGAAGCCCAAGTGTCCAAGCCCATAACCCGATTCATTCTGAACGACTGCCTCGCCCTCGAAGAAGTTTGGGTCCGCTGCTGCCTCCAAGGCAGACACGGCACCAGCGAAGTCCCCTGCTTTCCTTTGGCTGCATGGGGTCAAGGCCTGGGAGGGTCTGCACAACCCGTCACAACCCCAACCCCTGCAACCAAACACAATGCCTGGACATCCCAAACACCCCTGAAGCTTCAACTCCCAAGGCTCAGGCCCTACAACCAGACATTTGAGCAATCCATGAAAGCGGGGCAAAAAGCCAGAATAAAGCCTAGAGCCTACAGTACTCCAAAGCAGCAATCCCGAAGATTGAAGTGTAGACGGCGCGAGGGGCTCTTCATTTGCTCCCGTCGGGTCTTACTGACAGAATTCACATGCTGTCGGTCCTCAAGGTGGAAGTGTGTCGGGTTATGCATCACTGAGGGGTTCTATTGCTGAGATTCGGTCGCGCTCGCAACTTGCGGCTGTGGGCTCAGCCCTGAAGAGTCCTTTCTGGTCTTGGCTTGTGACACTTTGGAAGTTTTGCGTTCTGGATAGGAATGATGTGAAGCATTGGGGCCTCTGGCTCGTAGAGTTTGCTTGGCCCAGGAGATCCGCAAGGACAGCACCCCCAAATAGCCCAGAGCCCCAATCTCCAATGACCTCAACAAGTGGCAGCAGGAGAACGTCCGAACAAACAAGCGCGAACTCAAACATTTAAAATTTGGGATGCCCCCCAAACAGCTTTTGCTCGAGCTGGAAGGCAAGCGTGAGCCTGTAACAATGGCACTAGTGGTATACTGATAAGACCTCCGTACTCTGCCGCGCCACGCTGCCTCGAGTAGCTGGAGGCCAGCTTCGTCCTGGTACCTTCTCTCAGGCTCGGGCAGGGCTAAAGTTCCGTCGCCAGGCATGAAGCCTGAACTCGAAGGGCCCTGACCTTTCTCACGTAATGTTTGGCTTCAGGGCTTAGAGTTTCACTCTGCATAATTAAACCCAACAGCAATCAACAACTATGCCGGAATCCGACGCGCGCTTCAAAGAATCCTAAGAAGAGCCAAATGTCAGCGTGCATTCCAGCCGCAGCAGGCAGTTCCCTGCCTTGTTCGAGTTCCTTGTAATTCCTCCGGATGTCCCAGCTCCTCACCGTCTACTCTCTAGGCTCTAAGCCCAGACTCACTCGACACAGAGTGATTGCAGAGTTCAGCGCTCGTGGTCTGTGAGCATGGTGCACAAACAAAGACAGACCGAGCTCATGTTCAGATGCAACGAGCCCAACATTGAGGCACGAGAGAGGCCTCCGCAACTCCTACCGACGAAGTATTCTCGAAAGTCTCCAACCCTCACACCTTCCGGTCCTCCAAGGTCACGTCGTCTTTGAGCGGTGAGCCATGGAAGTAGAGATGCAGCACGTATGGATTGAGTTCGCAAACGGCCCACATCCTCCTTAGTTCGTTGACGGCTTATGGGCCTTCGGAGATTCCGACTGTCAATGTTGAAAGCCGTGGGTGGTGTCCCCTGCCGAGCCGAAAGTGAGTGGAAGCGGCGGCTTGAGACCTAAAGCCCCTGCAGGGCACTGCAGCGGCAATTTTGGAAGGACTTCGATTCAGAAACTCAAGATTTGTCCTGAGCCAGAAGAGTTGCTCCCTGGACTCGGGTTCCCTTCCGTGCTATCCGCCACACCTTTCCGCCAAGGCTCGACTTCACATCTTTGATGCTGTAGGATTTCTGCACCTTCACCATTATGCTTGGTGCCAGGTGTCAATACTGTTGCACCTTTCAAGTCGTGGCATAGCCACCACATGTCACCACAAGATTCGGTTCTCAGTTGCTCTGTCAGTTTCTCGCGCTCGCATGAAGCAGCTAGCATCTTCGGTCAGTTTTGTATTTTTTTTCTCTTTGCCTCCCTCCCTCCCCCCCTCCCCCTCCCCCTCCCTCTCCCATGTGCTTGTTTGGTTTGCGGGCATGAGCGTTGGATCCATATACTGGCCTGCTGAAAGTATCCAACTAAGACCAGAGGAGAACATGATAGTAGAGTGATAGAGTGAGGCTGCTTTGGTAAAGTTCCCTTTTCCTCTTGCGGGTTAGGAAAGCTTCCTAAGGCAAAGGCTCTATGGCTCTATGGCTCTATGCATCCACCGGTCCTTGTACCACGGCGAGTCTTAAGCTGCTCGGGTTGTCTCACAAGAAAGCACAGCATCAGCTACCAGCGGAGCATGAACTCCAGGTCCTCAACACCCTGGCAACAGAACTCGAACCAAGGAAATATCGGAGTGTTGCCGCCACGCGCACCTTGATGTTCACGTGCATGTGGGTGGCCTTAACTTCCACGAATTGTTGTGCAGTGCGGGGCCTTCAGCTCTCTGTCTTCTTCGCTGGGATCGGGATTCGATTCCTAAGAGGCCATGAACGCTTCGGTCCTAGAGCGGCCAGATTGAAGACTGCCGAGACTCGACATTCTTATTCTGCATGCCATCTGGACTTTCAACCACATCCCCCATACAAGGCTAAATGCAGAAGCCCTACATCCCCAACTTTGAAGCCTGGCCGGGTCTGGAGTTCAGTGAATTCGAGCTTTCGTCCATGTCTGGGAATCTTGGCAGTCATGATTGAAGATTGCAGCTCGAAGGGCTTCAACAGCTATGTTTCGAGCGCAAGCATCTCCAATCGTAGATGGGGGGTTCTGCTGTCTGGCGACCCAGGGTTCGCCTTGTTGCCGGTCCCAGGCGCAGGATGTGCGAACTCGCCAAGAACACCGTCAATGCGCAAGCGGTATTCGTCATCCTCCAGCCTGTCGGATGACAGAAGAGCTGTGGCTGAGGAAACATAGCCGACATAGCCTACATTCCAAAAGCAAACACACAAGCTACAGCTACACTGCTTGACGGGAGGGGGCAGTGACAGCAGGTTACCCAAGCACCGGGGAAGCGACCCGAGGACCCAAGGTCTCACATCCACTGTCCCAAATCCAAAATGTCAAGCCACCCACGGGCCCCAAACTCAGGCAGCCCGAACCTGAAAGTCTCAAAACCCTCAATCCAAGTCCCAACAAGTCGACAATAGCTAACTAGGCACGCCAGCTACGAATCTAGTGTGTGCTTCACTGGATCTGTTGGGCTGACGCTGTTGAGAGACTTTGGCCTTCAAATCTGAGAGCTTCAGAGTGTAGGGGGTTGTGTTCGAGGCTTTCAGATTTCAGGCTTGAGGTTTCCGGGACTTCTGAGACCCACCCAGTTACACCCTCAGGCATAGCGGCTCTTCCATCTCCACTTCGGCCAGAGCTTTCCTTGGAGCTTTCCAGAACTTCAGCATGGGTTCTGCCCCTGCAGCCCGTATCCCTGAGGATCAAATGCCATGCCCGAAGTCGTCCTGGGATTTGTGCGAAATCCTATACAGCTATTTCTACAAGGAATCTAAAACCTAAGCCCGAAACCCTAAACCATCTAGACCTGTAAAGCAATGAGCGCCGATAGTGGCTTGCCCTTGGCCTGCTTGGACAAGTCCCCTAATGAGCCCATGCCCGGCTTGAAAGGTAAGCTGGGTTCGTGTCTTGTCTTAAGTGCCGCCTTCCGTCCGCACGGAGTGGAGACTCTGAAGAGCTTCAGGGTTTAGGGTTCAGGATTTCATGTTCCTTAAACCCTGAAATGCTAAAGTTGCTAAAGTTGTTACGTACGTGACTCCTGACTAGGCCTTTCTTGAAATATCGAGGCTGAGAACAACTGGCACTCTGAGCGGTCCCAGGTTTCATGGTGTTCACCACCCTCAGACTTCACGGCTTTTCCAAGGAGTAATCCAGTCCGCGCGCGTCTCATTTGCTGAAACCTCCCGCCCAGACTCTTCACCGTGCACCTCTTAAACACCAAATCCCAATAAGCCTCGAATAAACTAACTAACCGACGAGGTACGTGCCCCCTTGGCAAAGCGCCGCCTCAAGGATTACCTGCTACGCTCTGAGGCAAGAGCTAGGGCTAGGGGTTCTGCGGAGTTTCGCTGAGGGCTTGGGCGCTGGGATGCGGTTGGGCTACAGAGCTTGAGGAACGTATACTTCCGACTCTCAGAGTTGAGACAGGCCTTGCAAAAGCTTGCGTTGCTCGTGGTTTCGGCCTGTTAGGGTGCCGCGCGGCTTGCAGATGCTTGGGGTAGGTAGGTATTTGTGGCGAGATTGTGCAAGCGTAGACTGTGCAGGTGAATTGAAGGTATCAGACATCAGCACACTGAAGGCTCACAGGCAGCTTTGCGAATCATGCAGGCGACTGAGAGCGGATGACGTCGCTCAACCTGAAGCTTTTGCGGATGTGCGGGATCCTCGCCCTGAATCACAGAATATCAAGGCCGCCTCGCTCTTTCGCCGGTGGCGAACAGGGGGCGGTGGTGCCTGGGCAACACAGGGTTTAGCTGGACTCTTCGAACATCGCTACTTCGGCGAGCAGGGAGGAAGAAGAGGCTGCGGCAGCTTCAATTTGCGATCCCAATTGGCGGCTCTCACTCCGTCACCCTTGCGACCTATTGCTCCTTCCCTCACTTCTTGCTCGCTCACGCGCACTACCTTGCTACGCACCACCTTACTCCAACCGTTTGCTGGATGCAGCAGTTCAGCGATGTCTGGATAAGTAATCAATTCCACCATGTCGGCATGGTGCCATGCCAGAGAACTCGGCCTCATTACTTGATCACACACACACATATCACCTGGCTCGACAGTCCTCAACAAGCTCCATCTTCGTAACATAACACAGTTTTACACTGTAAATGCTCGCTTCGACCCCCTGCCTCCGGTGGAGGAACCAACCCAGGCGGTACCGGAGCATCCTCCGTGGCTAGTTTGATGTGGAGGGCACGGCAGCTTGCGGCTAGAAGCTCGAGACGGCAAAACGTACTCATTTGAAGGCGCGGCCTAAGTCTGAAAACGGATACCCCACAGGCCTGAACCTTTGAAGATCTAGGTCCGAAAAGCATCAATGCGAAGGGTGATGGCAGGTTGTAGGTGCACACCATCATCAGTCCGAGGCGAGAAAATTGAGCTTCTGCCGAAGAGCCCGTCTTCCAATACTTCGACGCCGCATGATACGAATCGGCACGGCATCTTTGGTGATGAAGCACGGACAATGCTGATGACTGGGTTTAGTAGCCAAACATGTCTCCCATGGCCTCACCGGCTTATCCACTTTATCACTGCATTCTCGTATATGTATAAATTGTATAAACCCCCTTCGTACGACACCTTATGCTGTCAAGCAAAGCCGCCACCGCTTCGCCGAAGTCGGCAGTGTCATCAGCTTCCATCGCGCTTGCAGCTTTTAGGAAGAATCCGTCTCACCCCTTCATCGAGGCTGCCAGGGTTCAGGGTCCTGTCGGTTTGGGGTTCAGGGCTTAAAGGCTTAAAGTTTTTCGGCTTCGACTGGCATGCAAATGCGGATCGGTCTCCATCTTAAACCGATTCCGGATTCCACGTACTTCTAGACTGCAGCTGTCACCGTGCAGATAGTCACAAAAGCTTCAGATACCCGCATGTGTCTTCACACCCGCAACCTTCGATTCGAGGACGAAGATATACATGAATTTCTGTTGTAGAGACTGGAAACATAGACTCACTGTCGGGGTCCACTGCTTTGCTTTGTTGTTTGCACCGGGTGTAGCGGTGGCAGCAACAGCAGCAGCACTAGCAACAGCAGCAGGCGTCGTCGCAGCACTGGTAGTAGTAGGAATACTAGTTCTCTATTGTGGTCTCTAGTAGCAGTAGCAGTAGTAGTAGTAGTAATGGTGGTA